ACAGTGGGTGAAACTGGTAAGTTTTCGCCTGTTTGGGGAGTTTATATATATATATATTGCTCGCATAAAAACCCCGGGGTTTTTTGCTTTGTATGTCGGGGGCGGGAGATTCATGTGATTGGTTGTTGGTCGTGTTGCTCGCAAAAAATCCCCAAGCTTTCAGACACGCCCAGCTCCAAGATTTTCAAGATTTTTGAAAAGCTGCTGTGTGGACGTACCGTAAGGTTTAGACCTAACACACTTAGCTATTTTATCTACCTCTGGAACAAGCTAAACTAGTTATTATAAATATATGTATTCTTCATTGTTGGGTCACTCATTACTGGATCAGTGAGCTGCATGAGATACTGACAGGCTGTCAGGAGAGGGGGGAGAGGGAGAGAGGAAAAGAGAGCGCTTCCGCTAATTTCTCCCGTGTTATTGGTTATTATCCAAAGTGAATGTAAACTTGAATAATGTACATCATTTGAATGTAATAATTAAGTTGATTGTTGTTTGTGGAAGCTCCAGTGAATGAGCCCCATTAACTGAGTTTTAAACATCACTTTAAATGGAAGATTTAAAGTGATGTTTAAATCTTCCATTTAGGCCCCGCCCACTCGATCGGATCGGCGATCGGTATCGGCCGATACTGATTCCGGCGATCGGCCCCGAAATTGGCGATCGGAGCATCCCTACTTATTTCCACATCAGAAAGTTAAAGAGCAGCATGGGGATTCATTTGCTGTTTTAAGTGCAGAAGTGTGTCCCACAAATTGCAGGAAAAACATTCCTTGCCAGCATCGATTGTCTACTCTGTTGAGGGCACAGCAGCCATGTGCAAGTATAAACTCACACTCTGCATACGTGTACTAAGCAGTGTACTAAGGGAAGTATCCTAAAGGTCACCTACTTTGCAAAATGCACTTTTGTATGTCTTTTCTACATAAATATGTGATCCCGGTGTGTCAGGAAATAAGACCCTCTCTATTTTCCTCCGTACCCACATCTCTAAAGACGGAGCTGATCCAGATTTGCTGCCGATATGACGTAATATCTTAAATGTGGGCGGACTTTACACCCACGGCCCTATCAGAAACAATGCGCGACGTGTTCTGGAAGTAATATGGTCTTTGTTTACATTAGCAAGCATCGCTAACACTCGGAGCTAACCTGTACTGAAGAGAGTATGTGTAATATAATATAGTATAATAATAGGAGACCTTTAACAACTAGAAACGTGCATTTTCAAATATGTTGCAGTAGCATATTAGCATTAGCATATATGTTGAATCTTATCTGTCTGTAGCCTATTGAGCTATTATATATGTTATTATAAACATCCAGTCTCTTGTAGCTCCAGTGCTGTGCGTTATTGGACGTCAGTAGCTGCATATAATTGCTGTTATAAACATTACTATCTCCTTTGGTGTTTAAAACAAGTGCGATAGTTTGTAAAATAGCCCCAGCAAGTGCACATCATTTCTCTCAAGTCTTTGCACACTTCCATCCTCTCTCCAGTTCTCTATTTACTCTCCTTGCAAACACTAATTTCTCTTTCTCCCTTCCCTAATTCCCAGACTCTCTGTTTCCCACTTTGATTTCCCACAGTCACAAAACAGGAAGTAGTAGTTACCCTGCTTCCCTTCCTCAGTATCCACCCTCCTCTTCCTCCCCCTTCTTCCTCTCTAACAAGCTGTCACAAGTGTTTAATGTTTCCTCAGAAAGTGCTGGAGCCTCACAATCCTGCCGGTAAGGAAGAAATACAAATCACATTTGCAGGCAAACGGAGAAACGAAGAGGAGCGTTTCATGTGTGCTTTGATTGGACAGTGATTGTTATATGTGGCCCTCACTGAAGCCAGAAAAGGACGACGGTGTAAACAAATTGTGTAATTAGAGAGACGCTAATGTGACACGAGGGAAGAGAGGAAAGGACGCAGAGAGTTTGATTAAATTAACTTGCTTTGGTAGCATTTGTTTGGCTGGGATCTGAACTGACACTGACCTACATTCTTCACAGTCTGACAGGCGGTCGATTGACCTGCCGGGCTGACAGACTTTTTGAGCAAAACAGCATCACATCAGAAACGAAGCCACCTGATGCACTTTGACCCTGAAGCTCTGACTGCTCTCCGACACCGTCAGTCGTAAAGATTTAACTGTGTGTAGCTGCAGAAATGTGGCAAGATAGCAACTATCTTCACACCACTATCTCCCAAACTCTAACAGGTACATTCTCTTCCAACCACCGAATAGCTTTTATCAACTCGGAATCCTCCTTAGAGTTTCTACTTTCTGTTCGGGATTAATTTTGTCTTTACTCCTAGACATTTAACCTTATTTTGTGTGTTGACATGTACGACCATCCCTGCTTCTAATCTCCCGTAAGGAATGTGTTGATGCAGTCGTAGGTTTTACAACTTGACCTACAGGGCATAGGGAGGTTTTGCGAGTGTGAGAACGCTAGCTTCTAAGCTCCAGAGATGGGAGAGACATCTCCTGTGTCTGCAGATGTGTTTACGCCATGGTTTACGCCCATCCCCAATATGTGGATTTGACTCTCTGTAAACTAGTTAAAAGGTCTACCAAGATGCGAGGCTGATCAGATTTGACATGGCAAACCACCCGTGCAGTCGGAACCTTTTACTGTGTGACTTGTGATGTGAATTTCTCCGGCCGATGCTTGTATTAAATATCAGTGTTTGACATCAGAACTCCTGCTCGTCCCGTGTCTCCTTCATGAGTCGGTGACGACTACTGCATTGCTACACAGAAGTTTCCTCCACACTTTCTATGTGTTGAGAAATAGAAAAAACATCACAAATAAAAAGAGAGAATAACACGACACTAAAGGATTTTGCACACTAAGGAAATGTATTTTCCATGAGCTAAAGGTCCACTATTTTATCATCGTGTGCACCCTTTTGTACTCTCAGGCCTAATGAGATAACAGCAATCTGTAGACCATTGAACTACAGCAACATTCAGCTTGGGAATACTTCCATTTCATTAGGCATGAGCAAAAGGGAACGATCCAATAGTTTGGAACAACTCTTCGTAGTGAGTGTTAGTTTTTAACGATTACCAATGAATCCCAGACTCTTCCCACACACTGTTGATGCTCTTGCCTTTTTCTCCAGAGTTGCAATAGCTTTAAAACATAAAAAGATTTTGTGCACGGACACAACGACACTGAATGCACGAGTAACGAGTGTTTGAATCAGACTCGAGTAAAGGTTTTTCGAGCGTCTACATTTACTACGTGGCTGTGAGAGAGTGTGGTCATCTTTCAACCAGAAGGTTGTGGGTTCGATCCCAGCCCGTACAGCCAACATGTCGATGTATCCTTGGGCAAGACACTTAACCCTGAGTTGCTCCTGAAGGCATGGCCAACGGTGTGTGAATATTAGTTCATAGAGTAAGGTACACTGCTCTGTATGAATGGGTGTGAATGGGTGAATGACATGTAGTATGTAAAGCACTTTGAGGGGTCGTAAAGACTGGATAAAGCGCTATATAAGTACAGTCCATTTACAACAGCGCCTCAAAAGATCCCAATTCTAGTTAGAAAGTCATGTTTCCGCCTACAAAGAACGGCAACACAGTGATACCTTTTTCCAGTATTTGCGTGACATCGAACTGCAAAGAAAGCTATTCATGTGAGGCATGACATGTGATTTTAAACATGTTGTTTCTCACTATTACAACACCTACCGATCACAGCACATATGCCCTATCGATTGTTGATCATTAACACTTCTGTAACACTGTATTAAGCTTTGCATAGCCTGCCTAAACGCAGGTGTCGTGCTGAATCAATGCAATATAATGAATGTTTTACCTTTATGAATGCAGTTATATATGACTGGTAATGCATTGAGGACAAATGTTTTGGTGCAGGTAGCAAAAAAAGAGCCATATTTGAAATTGATTTAAATTATTCAAGTTTAAAGAACCGATTCAGTGGAAAGAGTTGCTCTGCACATGAATTTATTCCAGGAACTAGACACCACCACCACACATGAGATCAAGTGTTTGTAACAAGACAGTGTGCTTTCAGGGAAGCTGCACAATCTCTGCTAGTGACACCAGGAATCACAATAGTACTATATTGTTATTGTTGAGAGATATTTAACCCACCCTAAAGGGGCGGACAGCGTTATTAAGAAAGACTTCTGAGATCAATAGTTTTCTAAAAGCATGGGTTTACTAGAATCAAAACAAAATAACCGATTATGTGGAGTCAGTCTGCACATCACTAGTCTCCAGGAACTAGACACCACCCTTCTTCATGAAATCAAGTGTTTATAACGAGACAGTGTGCTTTCTAAGGAAGCCTCACCATGATCAGAGTATTACGACACTGTTATTGCTGCAACTAGAATAAATCCACCCCGATAGCTCGGTATTACCATGCAGTTCTAACTGATGCAGGACTCACATGCATGATGTAAGCAGCCTTACATCACCTGACAGCTGCTCAGAGTACAACACCATATGCTGAAGCAGACGTGCATGAATCACAGCAGCACACAGCGACTCTAATTGGCTCAGACACATTACAAACAAGCATTTACAGAAAGACTTCCACATGCAACCCGTAATAATCCACGACCCCCCTCCCGTCTGAACGTTATGTAACACAACGTATGCTGTGGCTGATTAGCTGTTACTTAACAGGCTGAGATACAGCGGTGCACGCCGGGTGTGTGTGTGTGTGTGTGTGTGTGTGTGTGTGTGTGTGTGTGTGTGTGTGCATGCGTGCGTGTGTGTGTGTGTGTGTATATGTGTGTCTGGACGGGCTTACGGAAGAGGCGGAGAAAAACGGATGTAGAAAGAAAACACTGAATCCAGCCTTACAAAAGTCTCTATATATTCAACCAGAAAACAGCTTCAGTGCAACAGCTGTCTGATCACCTTACACACAGCGCGTGCACATTACATTCAGTGTGTGTGGTTGTGTGTGGATCTGTGTGTGCCCTGCAGAGAGAGAGGAAGTTTTTGTGATATTACACCAACCTGATATTCCTCCGCCGACCACCACCACGTCGTAGGTGTTGCTGGCTGCAGTCATGGTGCCCTGTGTGTGTGTCCGTGTCTCCGTGGATCCGCACGTCGCGCCGAGGAGCACATCTGTATTAAAAGCGCGAGGCAGGCCCACTCCCCCCTGACTCCTCCCCCAGAGACAGGATGGGAGGGGAGTGTGTTCTGGTTTATTTTATATTTAACTGCATATTTGATCTTTTACTGCATTCTATTTCAATGTAAATACTGCTTTATTTCATTTTCGATGTTACTATGTTTTTCCTTATTATTTTGTAATGTTATTATAGTGTTCTTATAATAGTTCTCTATCTGTGATTTCACTTGTATGTATGGTAGAATGGTGCAAACTCCAGTCACTTCATAAGGAAAGCAAGTTTAATCACTATCTTGAAACATGTATATTTTCCACATATATATATTTTCTTTAAATGTACTTTTTAATGCTATTTTATTTCTATTTCAGAAATATTTTGTACTGTTTATTTCTTGTGTCTTAAACATTGGGATCAATAAAGTACTTATCTATCCATCTATCGATCTTGAATCTACAGAACAAAAAGAAAACATACCAACACAATATTAAAATAGAGAACAAGATGAAACACCAGCAGCGATCCAAATTAAAAGCAACATTAAAAAAAAATAGGTTTTTAATTTGCTTTTAAACATTTCAATGGAGTTTGCTGTTCTAAGATCCACGGCCGCTAAAATTAAAGATAAAATAGAATACAAATTAAAATAATAATACAAAAATAAAGTGATATGGTACATGTTGGATATAATATACTCCTCCAGCCACTTCACAAGGCAACATTATACATTACATTACATTGCATTTAGCTGACGCTTTTATCCAAAGCAACTTACAATAAGTGCGTTCGACCAACAAGATACAAACTTGAAGAAAACAGAATCATAAAGTACATCAGGTTTCATAGAGCTAAACATTTCAAGTGCTACTCAACTGGCTTTAGGTAAGCCATGTCCTAGTATATAAGTGCTTTGTTATTAATCAATCAATCAACAACTGTATTAATCCCGCAAGGGGCAATTGGTTATGAGCAGCAGTTTATGTCATGAACACAGGCAGGAACATACAAGAAGAAAACACACAGATACACCCGGGAGCACAGATGTGGATAATTCCAATTTACACGATAAATAGTTCAAAGCATCACAATAATAAATAAATAAATAAATAATCAAGTTAAAAGCCTTTTCAAGAATTTAAAAGTTTGAGTGCAGAAGGGATGAATGATTTAGAAAAGCGATTAGTCCTTTGATCAGGCAGAGCATATCTACGCCCTGATGGCAACAGACGAAATTCATGTGAAAGTACGTGACCTGGAGAGTTCAGGATGCTCTCTGCTTTCCGCAGAATCTGTTGGTTACTCTCTCATCCTCTCTGGACTCTCTCTGTCCTCTCACATCTCGGCAGGCTCGTCAGTCCCCTCCTGCTCCCTGGCTAAATGATGCACTGCGTGCTAATAGAACCGTCCTTAGGGCAGCAGAGCGGAAACTGTGGAAATCCAAACACCGTGACGACCTCCTAACCTATCAAGCTCTCCTCTCCTCTTTCTCTGCTTCGATCTCTCAGGCAAAAAGCACTTTCTTTCAAGATAAGATCCAATCTTCCTATTCCAATCCTAAAAAACTATTTTCCATCTTCTCCTCCCTCTTGGACCCTCCAAAAGCCCCTCCCCCCTCCTCACTTCTGTCAAGCGACTTTGTTACCCACTTTGAAAAAAAGGTTGATGATATTCGCTCTTCTTTTCTGACTCACCTTTACTCACCGCTGGGTCACCAGACCCTCCTTCCACCACACACCTTACCTCCTTTTCCCCTCTCTCTCCAAGTGAGGTTCTTACCCTCATTACCTCTGCCCGCCCTACCACCTGTCCTCTGGACCCTATCCCTTCAAACCTCCTTCAGACTATCGCTCCTGATATTCTACCGTTTCTCACCCACTTTATCAACACTTCTCTAACTTCTGGTCACTTTCCAAACAGTCTCAAGGAGGCTTTCTCAACAACTCTCCTGTTATCTCCATCAGAACAACCTTCTGGATCCGCACCAGTCTGGTTTGAAGGCAGGTCACTCCACAGAAATTGCTGTCACGGAGGAACTGCACACTGCCAAAACTGCATCCCTTTCCTCTGTCATCATCCTGTTGGACCTGTCTGCTGCATTCGACACGGTGAATCATCAGATCCTCCTTCGCACTCTCCAAGAACATGGAGTTTCAGGCTCTGCACTTTCCCTCCTCACCTTATACCTGAAAGACTGTACCTACAGGGTGACTTGGAGAGGGTCGGAGTCCGACCCTTGTCAATTAACTACAGGGGTCCCTCAGGGCTCTGTTCTTGGTCCCCCTCCTCTTCTCCCTGTACACAAACTCGATCGGATCAGTCATTAGCCCGCATGGTTTTTCTTACCACTGCTACGCTGACGACACCCAATTAATTCTGTCCTTTCCCCGCTCAGAGACCCAGGTCGTCGCACGCATCTCTGCTTGTCTAGCTGACATCTCTCAGTGGATGTCTGCTCATCACCTCAAGCTCAACCTTGACAAGACTGAGCTGCTCTTACCTCCCGGGAAAAGATTGTCCCACTCTTGACCTAACAATCAACATCGGCACCTCAGTTGTTTCCCCGACTCAGACTGCAAGGAATCTGGGTGTGATCCCTAGATAACAACCTGTCCTTCACTGCAAACATCGCTGCTACAACCCGTTGCTGCAGATACACGCTTTACAACATCAGGAAGATACGTCCCCAGCTGACACAGAAAGCGACTCAGGTTCTGGTCCAGGCTCTCGTCATCTCACGCCTAGACTACTGCAACTCCCTCCTGGCTGGTCTACCTGCATGTGCCATCCGACCTCTGCAGCTCATCCAGAATGCAGCGGCTCGTCTGGTCTTCAACCTTCCTAAATTCTCCCACACCACTCCGCTCCTCCGCTCCCTTCACTGGCTTCCAGTAACTGCTAGAATCCACTTCAAGACACTGGTACTTGCTTACCATGCTGCGAATGGATCTGGCCCTTCCTACATCCAGGACATGGTTAAACCGTACACCCCAGCGCGTGCACTACGCTCTGCATCAGCCAAACGACTCGCTGCACCCTCGCTGCGAGGGGGACCCAAGTTCCCATCGGCAAAAACACGTGGGTTTGTTGTCCTGGCTCCAGGATGGTGGAATGAGCTCCCCATTGACATCAGGACGGCAGATAGCTTGCACATCTTCCGGCGCGAACTGAAAACTCATCTCTTTCGACTCCACTTCGAGCGTTAGAACTATTAACGAAGCACTTTTATACTAATAAAGGACTGGCTTATCTAAAGCCAGTTGAGTAGCACTTGAAATGTTTGTCTCTATGAAACCTGATGTACATTATGATTCTGTTTTCTTCAAGGTTGTGTCTTCCTGGTCGAATGTACTTATTGTAAGTCGCTTTGGACAAAAGCGTCAGCTAAATGCAATGTAATGGAGTTGTCTCTCTGTTTCACGCCAATGATCTTGGAGCAGGTTTTAACAATGCTGTTCAGGCTGTTCCTGTCTTTCAGTGTAAGGCTATGGAACCAGCAGATAAAAGAAAAACAAATAAGGCTCTCAATGAATGCTTGGTAAAAACGACAAAGAATGAAAGGCCTGACAGAGAAAGAGTTCAGTTTGCGAAGAAGGTGCATTCTCTGTTGACCCCGCTTCAAAATACACTCAGTTTTCACATCAAAGTTTAGGTGGTCATCGAAAATGGTGCCCAAGTATTTGTATGATGTGACAATTTCTACCTTGTCATTGTGCACTCCTTAGGAACATCCTTGAGACGTCTAAAATCAATGATCAATTCCTGGGTTTTAGAGAGATTTAAATCCAGAAAACTGTCATCGCACCAGGAAATAAAATCGGCAAGAGCACCTTCGTGGCCTGATTCTGAGCCGCTAAGGAGGGACAAGAGGGCGGTATCGTCAGAGAATTTAACCAAGTAGCTGTTGTCTTGCATGCTCCTGCATTTATCAGTGTACATTATAAAAAGTAGGGGCGAAAGAACGCATCCTTGAGGCGAGCCCGTGGAAGTGATGACAGAGTCAGAGAGGCGTCCATTGACAGACACCGTCTGAATTACAGTACCTTTTGTTGATATAAAAGCATATTCCACCCCCGCAGGATTTGTTTGTTATGACAGGCGACCGGTCCATCCGAACAGGGTACCCAAAACAGCTGATGTGTAGGTCCGCGTTGCTGTCAGAGGCTTTCAGCCACGTCTCAGTGAATGCCAGCAGACACGCGTCCCTGTAATCTCGCTTGAATTTAGCACAAGCCTCCAATTCGTCCAATTTGTTCCGTAGGGATTGAACATTGGAGAGAAGGATAGTTGGGAGCGGGGGGAGCCGGCGTCGGTTGTCTAGCCCGTTTGTCCTCAGTCTGCGTTGAACGCCTCCGAGTTCTATCGCTGGAATTGGAGTCGAAAGAGATGAGTTTTCAGTCTGCGCCGGAAGGTGTGTACGCTATCTGCTGTCCTGATGTCAATGGGGAGCTCATTCCACCATCTTGGAGCTAGGATAGCAAACCCACGTGTTTTTGCTGATGGGAACTTGGGACCCCTGTCGCAGTGCGAGGGTGCAGCGAGCCGTTTGGCTGATGCAGAGCGGAGTGCACGTGCTAGGGTGTACGGTTTAACCATGTCCTGGATGTAGGAAGGGCCAGATCCATTCGCAGCATGGTAAGCAAGTACCAGTGTCTTGAAGTGGATTCTAGCAGTTACCGGAAGCCAGTGAAGGGAGCGGAGGAGCGGAGTGGTGTGGGAGAATTTAGGAAGGTTGAAGACCAGACGAGCCGCTGCATTCTGGATGAGCTGCAGAGGTCGGATGGCACATGCAGGTAGACCAGCCAGGAGGGAGTTGCAGTAGTCTAGGCGTGAGATGACGAGAGCCTGGACCAGAACCTGCATGGCTTTCTGGGTCAGCTGGGGACGCATCCTCCTGATGTTGTAAAGCGTGTATCTGCAGCAGCGGGTTGTAGCAGCGATGTTTGCAGTGAAGGACAGTTTGTTATCTAGGGTCACACCCAGATTCCTTGCAGTCTGAGTCGGGGAAACAA